GCCCCAACCCCTCTCCCAATCCAGGCCCTCCAGGGTCTCACCTCTGGGATCCGTGAGAGACACATCAGAGCCCTGGGCACTGTCACTGCCTGAGGGAGAACAAAACCAGGACGTGGTCAGAACCCACAGGAGAGAAACTAGAGAAGGAACTCTGAGGGGGTGAGGTCCCCCCATGGCCTCTCGGCTCCACCATCACAAGGGTCTCAGGAACCACACTCACTCCATACTTACTTGCAGCCTGAGCATAGCTCCCTCCTTTTTCACCTGTCAGAAGAAAACATCTTGTGAGAGGCCAGGGAGAACACTGAGTTGTGAGAGGAACCCCTTGTCCTGGACCACAGAGAACTTTCCAGAACTGTGACCAAAAATCCAGGACAGGATCAGGAGTATGAAGGAAGAGATGTGAGGGACTGGACCAACTCCCTTCCTGAGGGGAGTCTATCATTCTGAATTTTGACTGCTGTGAATCTGATCCCCAACTGGAATTATCAAGGTGAAAAATCTTTCATTTTCACAAGTGCTTTACAATAAGTGGTAGCACTCAGCTCCAGATGGGCAAGCACGTGTGTGTGGATAGTTCTTCCCTGTAATGAGGCAGACAAACTTCTACCTGGACTTGAAACCCCAGTGAGACAAGAAAAGTCAGATTCCCTCTCCGTTCCGTACCTGAGCGCCTCTTCCACCAGATCACAACTCCCACCACCACAGCTCCAATGACCACAAAGAGAACCAGGCCAACAATGATGCCCATGACGGGGATGGTGGGCTGAGGAGGCAGCTCTGCAATGAGAAGAGAAGGGGCCCTGACCTCAGGCTTGAGTCCTGGCCTTGCTGAAGGTCTCCAGAAGGGCTTCTGCTTTATCTGAGAAGAAGCTCCACCCCCGTGTCCCTCCTCACCCCATCTCAGGGTGAGGGGCTCCTCAAGCCCCTTGTGCTCCACATGGCATGTGTATCTCTGCTCCTCTCCAGGAGGCACCACCAGGGCTGCCCACTTCTGAAAGGTCCCATCCCCTGCAGGCCTGGTCTCCACGAGCTCCACGTCCTGGGCCTGGTCCTCCCCATCACGCTGCCAGGTCAGTGAGATGTCCGCAGGGTAGAAGCCCAGGGCCCAGCACCTCAGGGTGGCCTCATGGTCAGAGATGGGGTGGCGGGACACATGGGTCCTTGGAGGGTCTGAGGAAAAAGAATCAGAAAATTCACACTTTGGGTTACCTCCATGGGCAACTGAAACAGCATCATGTGACCATCCTGAGACAGGACAGGATAATTGTGCGGTGCCAAATGGTGCCTACCGAGGCCTTGTGATCGCCATCCCTGGGCCCTCAGATATCTGCCTGCAATCCCGCACAAAACCAACATACACCCTTTCCTCATGTGTGTTTGCCTTAGCAGAATTAACAGCCTTGGAAAATGCCTAACCTCCCCATAGCTCAGGCTGACTTGTCTCAGGCCACATGTCCTCCTTATTGGAGTCATAAATCCCACTATGCTGCTCAGGTCAGCCAATCAGAAATCTGCTCCCCTATCCCATTGTGTTCACAGCCCCTTCCTCAATAAAAGACCCTGCACGGTCACCCTCGGTGCTCACACATGCACCTCTCATCTGTGTGGCCCGCTGTTGTCTATGACAGGGTACCTAATAAACTCCTTCCCTATTTTCATTCTTTGTCTTAGGTAAATTCTTTTACTGCCTGTGCAGCAGCCCATTGTGTCCCCCAATGTTTGGTGGCCCATATAGGGAACCCCAAAACACATGGGGACCCCACCAATTATGATGAGCCCTACGGGTGGATCTCCCTTTCTCTGTCCTCCCTCCCCTTCCTACGGGAGCCGCTCCCCTTGGCTGGATGAATGCTGCATACTGGAGGGCAGATTGCCAGGGCGGCTTCCCCATCCCCCTCTCTGCTTTACTCTCTCTCCCACTTCCCTTCCTGCTATTCCCTAGCGTCTGGGACTTCCCCAAGCCTTAGGGAGGACTGAGGAACCCTGGGTGGGCTACTCTAGTGGGCTCTAAAACTCGGTCTGACAGAGGGGAGTGACCCTGGCCCACAGTGGTGATGCACACGGGGAGGGCCTTCTTTTCCAAGTACCTCTGCTCCTTTCCTCCCTGCTACTACATGTCCCGTGTCTGGGTCAGAGGGGACTTTGCATCTAGTCGGGGAAGGCACACATAAGGACTGGTCATCTGTTGCCTTGGGACACCCAGGACCCTGTCTCCTGGTCGGCTTCAGACATGTAATAGGGAGCGGTCAGGCCAGCAAGTAAAAGCACTGGGAGGTCCACCCCATAAACTCCCCACTGTGACTCAGTACAGACTTGCCTCTTCTTGCTCTCTGTGGCCTCAATTTCTGAGCCTAACTGCCAGACGCTCTCCTCCTGCGTCTCCCTCCCACGCTGCCTCTGTGACCTGGACACTTCAAATACATCAGCTGAGTCTACGATCCCCATGCCAGGTAGAAGCTGCCAGCGGATGAGATTCTCCCCTCTTCCCTTCTTTCTAAACTGCTCAGCCCTTGTGCCGGTTCAGCCTTGGCACCGACTCCCTTTTAGCCTTGGTGCTGGTGGGCTGGTTGCCCTCAGCTCTTGCACTGGTCGGTTTCTCAGCCTCTGCACTGGTGGCCTTGGCACTGGTTTCAGCTTCTCTTTCTTACGGGGTGCCCAAAGTAAGAGGATGCTGGAAGGTTGACCTCTCTTTTTCTGGGTTTAGCTGCCTCTTTCTTGTTAGCCTCTCTCTTTCTGGGGGACAGACGCCCCAGAATAGAGTCTGCGCTGGTTTCCTTCTCTCTTTGATACCTGCCCTTAATCACTACAGGAAATGCTCCCTCTATCCCCCAGGACTCACCTTTGGGTTTCATTTTAAAGAACTGGGATAAGTGTGATCCCCAGGCCTTAAAGAGAGAGTGCCTTGTCTTTTTCTCCAACACTGCCTGGCCACAATACCAACTCCCATATCAGGACACTTGGCCCCTTACTGGGACTCTATAACACCATCTGTCAGCTCGATCTCTTCAGCCACAACTTAAACAAATAGCCCAAGGTCCCATATGTCCAAGCCTTATGGCTGTCTCTCAAAAATTAGGGTTCGTACTGGTCAGTCTATGACAGACGTACATGTGTGTATTTTGTACTTTGTTTGTCTCATGATTTGTAATTCTCATTCTGTCTTGGGAAATGGGAAATTCTGGTTCTGTTCCACCACGGAGTCCTCTTGGGCAAGTTCTGTCTAACTGGAAAGATTTTAGTTATGAGCGTATGAGAAAAAAATTATATTATAACACTGTGTGGCCACAATATTCTTTAGTCTCCAAAGAAAAATGGTTTAGAGAAGCTCTTTGAAAATTCCAAAACTGGTTCTTTTGCATATATAGTTAGAAAAAAAAACTAGCTTCAAAATCCTAAACCTGAGAAAACAAAGATATTCCTAAGAGAAAGCTTGAAGTTAACCTTTATAATGTCCTTATAATACAAACACAGCCTGCTATGTCTAAGACTTCAGCATTGGGCTAATTAGTAAAATTTCAAACCAAAGGAAAAAAGTGGTAAAAAGGCCTTCTAAAAACTCAAGCAGAAAAACTATGAGATCTCTGTCTGTGTCTGTCTGGATATATGTATGTCTGTGCACACATTATACACATGAGATGTCTCTACCTCTAAAAATGTTATCAAAATTAAATTTATAAAAGAGCTCTATTTAATTGGCCTAAAATAAGTGCTTACAAACTAATTCTAAAATAGCTAAACAAAGTAACTTTCAGGGTCAAATGAAGTGGAAAACATTCAGTATTAAATTAGTAGTACCTGGCATTAAAGTTCGCTAATTTAATTAATATAGACAAGTCATCCATGTTAAACACTATACTTCTGTTGTACATAGGTTTAATAAAAGTCAAATAAGACCTTGTTATATCTGTTACAAATTTGTCAACAAAAAATAACTTGGTATGGTGAAATTCTTATAAGTAAATTAAATACAAATGAGGTAATAAGACACTAAAACAATAATTACTAAACACTGGCTTCCCCTTGGAGAGAAACTTAAACTATTTAAGACTATTAATAAATACGTTTGGTGCCCCCCTGAGATGTTCTCTGTAAGAAAACGTGGTTTTTAGAAATTGTTAGTATTTATGTTTGCCAATCTACAGAATGCTAATATAAAAGACAATTCATACTTGCCTACTTCTTAGTTTTCACTGGAAATTCCAATTTAAGAGTTGACGATTCTATTTTGAATATTTATTTGGAGCTACTAGGGAAAAATAAAGGAAACATTTCAGTATACAGTAGGAAAGTGAGATATATGTTTTCAGTAAGAAAGGTATGAGGGATGGAATTGTGTTCAGGGAAAACAAAAGTAGGTTTGTCCTATAGCTAGTTGTTTCTGGATGGAAAAATAAGGGACAAAGTAATACGGATTCAGAAAGTGATAAAAGGTTTGTAGAGAAGAAATCCTGAGAAAAGAGTTTTGTGTATGGTTGGGATTGACTAAACTTAGTCTAAATAAATAGATTTTGTTGTTAAAAGTAAGTTGATACATACTGGGTTTTGATTCTCTATGTTAAAAAAATTAAGTTTCTTAGAGTACAACTTTTGATAACAGATTGTGTATCTGTGCCTTTAAGTGACTTATATCTGTTTTTAAAACCACTGTCACTTTGGTTGAATGAATAAGTACTGTTTCACAGTGACCAATGATTTTACCTGACCAAATGTTTTAAAACTTTTAACAAGCCTCCCAAATATCAAATTGTAATTAATGTCCTTTTAACCTCCAGCTAACTTTGGAATGCTTCAGAGAGCCCCTGAAACTTCCCAAAGCGAGACTGAAACTAGTTAGGTTCATTTGGTACGTTAAATTACATGGGAACTATTGTCAAATAAATAATAAATCTTCTAAGTTTATACTGTATGAAAAAATGTTATTAGTATAGATATTCTAAAGATTTTAAGGAATCCTAAAGATCTGGTATGTCTGGTAAAATGTTACCAGTTATAATTCTAGTTACTATCTTAAACTGTTCTGTCACAGTAGTGACAAAGTTTCTGGACAATTGCTTTGTAAACAGGGTTTTAGCTGTGTCTGCTTAAGTCTTTTGTCATTCATAAACAGTACAGTTTTACTCTGATGCCTGTTTTGAAGAAAATGCTTTCTCTTCAAAAAGGTTAATTTTAAAAAAGGACTTCTTTAACACGTACAGGTTTCTAATAACTTTTAAATCATACTGCTAAACTGGGTAATAAAATGTTTTTAAGTTAATAAAAACTCTGATTTCATAAAACTGTTAAAAAAAGATTAGTTACATGGAATTGAGTAAAATAATAAATATGGTTATAATTTTTAATTTTATCTGAAATAGTACTGGCTTTTAATCCGTGCTTTTCCAGATATTAAAAAAAAATCCTTCTCAAGCTAATTCTGACGTAACAATTCAGTAAATTATACCTCTGTAAACAAAAGTGAAACATTTATCTTTTTCTCTCTACCTGATCCCTCCAAAGACTGAAAACTCTTAGGCTCTCAACAGCTTTATAATTCGCCTAAATCTGTAAGACATGGCTTTCCTGGCCTTGAGAGACCTTTTAAAAATTCAACCTGAGACAACTTACAAAAAAAAAAAATTCCAACACAACCAATTTAAAAGAGCCTATATGACCAGTTAATCAGACAATTTACAAACAAATTCATCTTAATTTGTCTATATTTGATAAATGAGGGTAATTATAGAGGAAAACAAGATTATGTTTCAGTGGATATTTTAGTTTTGTTAATTGACATCTGTATTTACTAAGACACTCTGCCCAGACCATTCCTTGTTGTTATGTTATATTGTTACAAAGTTTAATTAAATTATTAAAAGGAAACTAGGTTTGTTTCTGAAGCTCAGTAATCTAGCCCTGGATGAAAATCAAATGCCCCATGACCTACCAGAAATTATGCATACTAAAAACAACATAATTTAAGAGCAATCTTCAACCTAAATGGAAGGACCTTTATCAGGTACTCTTAATTAGCTCACAGTAAATTGAAGGAAATTGACTTTTGGATTAAGTTCCACTCCAAAAAGGGCCCCCGCACTGGACTGCCCTATAGAGAGGGCTGCTGCACCTTAAAATGATGCTCAAATGGAGAAAAAGCTACCAGACCAGAATGAGAAAAAGACGACATCTGAAGTAGACAGCTGACCCGAGACAGCAGATCAGGCCTCCATACCAATTACTTTGATAATTGTTCACACCTTTGCTTAGAAACTAAATGTATCTCACAATCTTATGCAGAGCTAAGTCTTACATAACTGTGTGACTGAGCCTCTGATAAAATGATGACAACTTAAAGCAGTTAGCCAGATACATAGTTCTATAGATTTATGATTGTAATAGTGTAACTCTAAATATGAAAAGAAGCAACAAGAGGGAATATTTTCCTGGACCATAACAGACTAGCAAGACAGGTGGTCCAGAGCCTTTTTGGTGCTGTTAATAAGGCCTACTCCCATAATAACACATGGCCTATCGACAAAATCTTCACCTGACCTAGGGATGAGCATTCCTAGCACCGTGGAACAAAATGGTCATAAAATGCCTCCCAAGCTGTGGTCAAATTTATGATCATCAGGGGCCCTGCCAATTAAAGTTAGCACTTGCCATCTGCCACTACAGTCACTAACCTCCAGCACACCCTAAAAGGAGCTCAGGGTGGAGATCCGATGAATGGGACTGTGCTCTGGGACAACTGGCAAAATAGGCCTTCAGATAGTTAGACATTTTCAGGAAAAGATGTTATGAGCTCAATTCTTGCATCTTCTCATATCTAGAAAAATACTAAAATCATTAATGGTGACATCTACTTTGGCCATTAAAGAGAGCTGTTCTTACAAACCAAAAGATGAGACCTCTGCCCACATGCCAAAGATCTGATGTTGCCAATCTGTTGAGGGGGAAGCGGTGCCACCTGGTGCCTGCTGAGGCCCTGTGACCCCCATTCCTGGGCTCTGAGATGTCCACCTACAATCCTTCAAAAAAACAAAGTACACCCTTTCCTGATGTGTGTTTGCCTTAGCAGAATTAACAGCCCTGGAAAATAGCTAATGTCCCCACAGCTCAGGCTGACTTGTCTCTGGCCACGTTTCCTCTTTTTCTGGAGTCATAAATCCCATTACCCTGCTCGTGTCAGCCCATGTCTCCATCTTACTGGAGCTGTAAACTCATTCTCCTCCAGTATACCAAAGCCCCTTACCTCACTTCTAGCCAATCAAAAATCTGCTCCCCTATCCCATTGTGTTCACAGCCCCTTCCTCAATAAAAGACCCTGCACAGTCACCCTCGGTGCTCGCACAGGCAACCCCTCGTCTGTGTGGCCCACTGTTGTCTATGACAGTGTACCTAATAAACTTCTTGCCTATTTTCACCCTTTGTCTTTGGTAAATTCTTTAACTGCCTGTGCACTGGATCGCTGTGTCCCCCAACAAATGGTTTTGAAAAGAAGCACAAATCCCAGACACCATCCTGGACTTGTATATCCGAGAATATCTCCTAGTCCTTGGAAAATTCAAGAATCAGGATGAAAGCCAAGGTACAAGGCTCCAGAACTGTAAGGGGGAGAATACAGAGTAATATTCATGACTCTGGGGGAGGATGAATGAATCAGAAAAGCTGGAGTCAGGCCTCCAAACATGCTCTCAGGTTGAGAACAGGCCTTGAAAGAGAAAGTCCTGGTTCACACGATGGCAGCCGGGGTCAAAGGGCACCACTGATCAGTTATTTCAGGGATAGTCTCCCCGTCTTTATCCTAAAAGAGACTGGATTTCTGAACTGTCCTGTAGCGAAGTGGTGCCACTGGCGAGTCACTCTGTTGTACAGAATATGGAGACCTGGGCGGATTCCTCCCTCTCCCAACAGGAAGCTGGGGCGGCATTCCCGCAGGATCCCATCCTCCTCTCCTTGCGGGACGCCAGCTCCAGCCCGAGGGGAGATCGTGGAGGCACCGTGGCCCCTCGTACCTGTGCGCTGCAGCGTCTCCTTCCCGTTTTCCAGGAACCGTCTGAGTGACTCCACACACCTGCCCTCCAGGTATTTCCTCTGGCGCTCCGCCTCACCGGCCGCCTCCCACTTGCGCTGGGTCATCAGCGCTACCGCGTCCGCCGCGGTCCAGGAGCGCAGGTCCTCGTTCAGCGCGATGAAATCCGCACCGTCGTAGGCGAACTGATCGTACCCGCGGAGGAGGCGCCCGTCCGGCCCCACGTCGCAGCCGTACAGGTTCTGGTAGGTGTGAGACCCTGACCCCGCCCCGAGGTGAGCGCCGCTCCCCCAGCCCCCCACTGATTAAACATAAACTGAAAATGAAACCGGGTGAAAGTCCCCGCCGGCTCTTCCGGGTTCGGGGAGACGGGAGGGCCCCGCGATATCGGGGTGACCCTCGGATCCTGGGACTCAGGAGACCCTGGCCCGTCCCTGGGGCTGGGGGTCGTGACCTGGGCTCACCGGACTCGCTCTGGTTGTAGTAGCGACGCAGACTGTTCAGGTTCACTCGGAAAATCTGTGCGTGGTCTTTAGAGATCCGCGTGTTCCGATCCCAAAACTCCGGCCCCTCCTGCTCCACCCACCGCGCCCGCGGCTCCTCCCTCGGATTCGGGGCGTCGCTGTCGAACCGCACGAACTGCGTGTCGTCCACGTAACCGACGGAGATGTAGCGGGGCTCCCCGCCGCCGGGCCGGGACACCCCCGTGTTAAAATACCTCATGGAGTGGGAGTCTGGGGGCGAGAAGGGGGTGAGACCCGGCCCAACCCTCCTCCTGGCGAGGCCCCGGGTCCGAGGTGATGTGGCCGGGTAGGGTGATGGGTCTGGGCGGGGGACGGCGACCTCGCACCTTTCTCGGGATCCCTGCCCGCCCCTACCCCCGGGCGGTCCCCTCGCTCCTGCCCCACAGGGGCCGTTTTCTCCCGATCCCACACTCACTGGCCCAGATTTCGGTCGGAGCCAGGGCCCCCGAGAGGACCAGGAGGAGAGTTCGGGGCCCCAGGGCCAGCATCTTCGGAGTCAGTTGAGAAGCGGAGTCCAGACCGATCGACGAGGACTTCATAACCCGGTGACGCTGATTGGCGTCTTTAGAAACCCGACACCCAATGGGAGTGAGAACTAGGACTCTGTCACGAGTGTCTAGGCAGGAGGACCAGACACAAGTTGTGAGAGAGAAAGTGAAACCCGGGAAGATGGGGAACCCCCGGCACCAAGCGTCCCCGCCCGAGACCCCGCCCTCGGTGAGACCCCGAGAGCCACGCCCTCCAGGGCACCTGGGATTTTGCTATGATCCCTCCCGTCCTGCACTGAGAGCTCTTCGTCACACTGTCTCCCCGGGTCCCGGCCCTGGGTTGTGTAAATTGATGATTTTCAAAATATTTTGGTCAGAATACTTAAACTCGTACAAATTAGTGATGACCACAAGGATAATTTTATGTGGTTATTTCCATCGCTATTTTTCACACTAGGAATAATAAATTTTTATTTTTTATTAAGGATAATATTAGCAACCTTTGCATTTAATATAAAAAATAATTTCCAAAAAATACACATAGTAGTGAGAAGACTGGAGCTTTTTACATTTTTACAAGTCTCTAGTCTGTCTCATTAAAAGACCACTGGATTTTCTTGTTTGCTGCTGCATTTATTACGTTATTTTGATTGAACTCTCACACATATGTAAGAGCAGTATTTTAATAACCTTTTCAGATAATTGTAGATGGTCCTTTTTGATACTAAACTAAAATTACCAAAGAGGTTGTTTGTCAAAGGTTATTTGCAAAGTGGTCCTGAAACAATATCAGTGAATATTTGTTATTCTGTTACATTAAAATTTACAAGCCTACTTTGGACACTGAATGTCTCTTGTACTAATAGAAGATTTTTTAAAATAATACATTGTTTCACTAAAAAGTTATACAGATCTTCCAGTGTCAGTCTTTCAAGTGAAAATAGTATTCCATAAAAAAGAGGGTAGTTCAGTTCACACAAATTATTTTACATGGGACATAGTACTTTGAAATGTAGCAGAAGTGGTTGATGTGTACGTCCCATGTCATCATAGAAAATATTTTTAAAATATGATTTAAGGATGATGATTTAGGAACAATAATAATTTTAGTGCTTCAATCAGGATGTTTTAAAACAAACCTGTTTTTTTATCCTGCAAGTAAATTGTTAAAATAATTACTATTGCAGTTTGCTTTCATAATCTCCATTATTTCTAAGATGTACCTCAAAGCAGATGTCAACCTAGTGAAAAGGCAAATAGTATCTTAGTAATGCTAAGAAAATAGTTTTGACTGGGCATCTGATTGAATCTCACCCATTGGGTGAGAGGATACAGCTGTAACAGGGCAGAAGCAGTGGTCACTGGATGAGCACAGGGAGAGGTTTGGTGCACTGTGAGGGACACAGTGCCGCCTTATGTGGTCTGTGCTTAGAATCATGTCCTGCCCTTGTCTTGGCTCCCTGTGTCATGGTCTCAGGTGTCGCTGTCTGATGTCGATGTTCTGTGAAATGACTTATGTCAACAGCACAGTAACACGGCTAAGTGGGGAGCATCAGCCCGCTTCTGACAACACTGAGGCCTGTGTAAGTGTCAGACCAGTTCCTGTGGTTGGAAGCTGCTTTGTCCTTCTTGAATTCAATATTTTAAAACAACTATACCCTCTCCCCCAAAAAAGAATATTAGAGAACGATTTAGAAAAGAAGAAATGCAAATGTTAAACAAATATATTAGTATTAAGTAAATGTAAACAAAAATGAAAATGTGGAATAAGAAATGCGAATGAATTAAAATGTATCATCTTGGCAAAGATGAAAGTGAATGAGGGGAGGATTGACAGGAACTGAGGGAGAACA